AAAACTGAACGGCACAATCCACAACACAAATATTATATATATATATTATATATTATATATTATTATTATTATTATATTATATATATAATAATAATAATAATAATAATAATAATAATATAATAATAATAATAATAATAATAATATATATAATATTTGTGTTGTGGATTGTGCCGTTCAGTTTTTACGTGTACAGGGTGTCCTAAATGTTGCTCAAAATCGGGAAATGAGGGGTTCCCGATTCTCGATTGAAAACAGTGGTTAAATCGAAATAATAATGAAACACACTATCGTTGAATCATTATTAAAATCGTTGCCGTTGAAATTTTTAAAGGAGAAATCAAACGTACGTCCGGCGACTGACTCGCGCAATCGACGCAACGAATTTTCATCAGGCTGCACGTTCCATTTCGTCGAAAGTAGCGTTTCAGTTCAATTGCGAATAACCAGAAACGATATCAGCATTCCCGGTACCCTATCGAAATCCGTGGATTGTGAAATGTTTTTCTCGGGCCACGTGGAAGTAAATTAATCAGAGGTTCTCTGTATAAATAACAAGGTCGATAAATTCGTCGAATGGATCGCATCGTCCACGGCTATTCCGCGGCACGTTCAGGGGAAATTATTAATCGCGCTCTCGGCGGAAAATCGGACGTTTATTTGTTTTTTTTCGCTTGCATCGATCACGACTCGGTTGTTTCGGGGTTTACCTCGGGAACGGCATGAAGAAATACGGTCGAACAATGGCGCCGCCGCAGAAGAGGAAGCCGAGAAACTCGACCGGGAAGGGCCGTGTAATCGAGACACGATATACTAATCGACAGTATCGCAAACGGCCGGAGATTTCGCGTCGAGTGCAGACTAGCCAGTCCATCGCCGTGCCGGAATTAGTCTACAGGCTGCTGAACACCGACAAACATAACCAAGGTGTGTACGTTTCTCCCTTACGTCGGATCCGACCGATCGAAACCAGGAAACTTTCAACCCTTTGCAGTCGAAAGTCGGCGGTATCTTCGCGATTGAAAATTGTTCTTTTACGATATCTCTGCCAATGCAATCTCTTAAGCGAAATCATATTTGAATACAGATATGATTTCCGACACATAATTTTCTATTTTATTCGAAGCGTTGTGCCTTTCATTTCGCGAATAAATAAATAAGTTTCTGGTAAGCGATCCGAAGGAGCTCTCCTCCAAGTGCAAACGTTTAATTAATTGTTACAAGAGTTGCCTTCATGAAAAGATAGACTGTAGGATAGATTTTTTGACGGACAGAACCTGATTTATCGAATTTATTGTTAAGTTAGAAGGTATTAGCCGGTCCTATGAGATATCTTATTAATTATTCTCGTTGGAACACTATGCCGAACGAGAATAAATGAGAACATGAATAATATACACAGTCCATTGTACGTGCTAAAGTGTAATGAATTATTCATTTATACGCGTTGAAAATTTTGGAAAGCTATTTTACAATTAATTTAACGGAGTTCATGCAAAACCATAACCATAATGCTCATCATTTATTTCGTTTTTAATTTGGCAATCTTTCAATCAGCCAGACAAATTCTATCCTCGCTCGAAATTGTAAAAATTCATGGTTTTATTGGGTTGGCAACTAAGTAATTGCCGATTTGTTCAATGAGATAAAAAATTTTTTTTCACTTGGAATGAAGTTTAATCTGTAATGTATCTTCCATTTTGTTCGATGACCTTTTGCCATCTCTCCGACAACTTGAAAATTCCACGCTCGTAGAAAGTCTGATCCTTTTCGGCCAAAAACTGAGTTAAGCGAGATTTTACAGCGCCATCATCATTAAAAGTTTTACCACGAAGGGAGTTGTCCAGGGATCGAAACAAGTGGTAATCCGATGGCGCGAGATCAGGGCTATATGGTGGGTGTAACAACAATTCCGAACCAATATCCATCAATTTTTGCCGAGTGGACAAAGACGTGTGCGGCCTAGCATTGTCCTGCTGGAAAATGACACCTTTACGATCGACCAATTCTGGTCGCTTTTCCTTGACCGCTGCATTCAATTTGTCCAGTTGCTAACATTCACGGATAATAAAAAATAACATAATAATAAAAATAATAATTTTATAATAGAACATTTACGGATATCATAAAAATGGGAGTGAGACACATCTATAACTGAAATCGGCAATTACT